CTGATAATGATTTTTTGCCTGATAAACGATTTATTATAGTCATTGTTAATTATAAAAAATCACGGGATACCGGATAAGATCAATATATCTCACACATTCGTAAAGTTAATCCATCACAGACCGAGATTGTATTTGAAATTGAGGAATTGTGTAATATAACAATATTATAGTGTTGAGATATTGAGATGCTAACGAAAATCATGTGATTAAGTGATCACATCACAATATTCAAGTATAATCATTTTTTTGATAGCTCGGTAACGAATTATCTTTTGATTCAAGTTGATTTTGCTTTGCATTTGCGCGAGATTGATGAACATACTTTGCAATTAATGATTTTAGCATTGTCAATAATTCAAGTGTAGATTAATCTAGTGAACCTTCATCAGGAGAATTCATAAGGATGCCTATAATGTATTTTCCTTTAAATTTTTTTTGACCGAACTTACAACAAAATACAAACATCTAAAAGAAAAATTAAATTACTTCATAATACTTATATTCAAATAAATATTCAAGTCCTGAAAGATTTTTAAAGGGTAATTAATTATCTCTCCTTTGCATTTTTATCGTCATTCCAATCTTTGTTGATCTTTTGTTGAAATTTTCTAAAAGAACTTGACTAATTGGTTAAACGGCCGGTCAAAAGTCAAATAGGTTGGTCGGTCCAAGGACATTGGCCGACTGTTGAAGAACCTTTTTTAATAATTTAAATCTCGGTAAAAAATAATAACTCATATGATTACTGTCACTGCAGTTATGTTGAAATTTATAAATATCTCAAATTTGAATAAAAAGTAAATATTAACTTAGGATCAATTAAATTTATTATTATTGAAAGAACAAAATAAGTTTATGCCTTATTTTTTAAAGCGCGAAATTTTTAAAAGCTTTAAATCCGAAAATACTTTTAAAATCGTTGACTTTTAACTCCGGCCGAATAAAGTTTTCGGCCAGAATTAATCTTATTAGCTCTGCCAAATTTATATTAACCTGTTTGAAGGCTGATTTTTTCCCTAGGCTATAAATTTCTCGGATCGTCAAAATTTCTCATGCTATATTATTACAATTCTGTTCTTTCACATACGATGACGAAAAATTTTTTATCAGATTTATCAAAGGATTTCGGTCAACTTCTTACCGATGGATATAATTATGACGTAATTATTCATACTGGGGAAGGTCAAAATATGAAAGAATTGTTTGCACATTCAATAATTTTAGGAGCAAGGTCAACATACTTTAAGACCGCATTTTCAAAGGAATGGGTAAAGAAGGAAAACGGGATTATTATTTTTAAAAAACCAAACATTTCACCGGAAATCTTTAAGGTTATTTTAGAGTTTCTTTATACTGGAATCGTTAATTTTGATAATCTTAGTGGGACACAAGTGTTGAAACTTTTGGTTGCAACCGACGAATTGAATCTTCAAAAGTTGAGTGATTATATTCAACCTTATTTGATCAATAATCAAGTTGAATATTTAAGAAATGAACCCGTCGAAATCCTTCAAACCGTATTTCAATATGAAGCTTATGAAAACTTGAGAAATATTTGTATAGAAACTATTTGCGAAAGTCCTAAAGTTCTTTTTGAATTTCCAAGGTTTGTGACGCTAGAAAAAGATCTTATCCTCCTTCTGTTAAAACACGATGATCTTGGAATGGAAGAAATTGAAATTTGGAATTATATTCTCAAGTGGGGTATTTCAAAAATGTCGACTCCATTGAATATTGATAACGTATCAAACTGGACATCAAATGATTTTGAAGAATTAAAGAAAATTATTCATGATTTAATTCCACACATTAGATGGTTTCAGATTCCTTCAAAAACGTTTTGGAGAAACGTCGATCCATATGAATCAATCTTTCCAAGGAATCTTTATAAAGATATTATTGGATACCATTTCGATCCAGACACACCACCAGATACATTAGTTTTACCTCAAAGAAATGACCTATCTTTTAATTCTGTTCTTATCAACAAAAATCATTTCCTAATTCTTGCAAGTTTAATTGATAAAAAAGACAAATTCTTTTATGGTTCTAGAAATATCCCTTATTCATTTAAGCTTCTTTTTCGTGCTAGTAGAGATGGGTTTGAAGTAAAGACATTTCATGAACTATGTGGTAACAAAGGTCCAACTATAATGATTTCAAAATTGCAAGAGAATGGTAAATTAATTGGTGGTTATAATCCATTAAGTTGGAAACCTTTTGAATCGGAAGGTCATTGGGGCTCAACCTCCGATAGTTTTTTGTTTTCTTTTGCAAAAATGGATGATCTTGATTCAATATATATTTCGAGAGTAAAAGATCAAAGGTATGCTGTGTATTATCCGTCAGCTTCAAATATAGGACCGGCTTTTGGTGGTGGATGTGATTTATTTATTCAAGGAAATAATATAAATAGGAATAATTTTATTGCCAATACGTATCCCGAAGCAAACAAAATTTTAGATCTTAGTGTAAAAAGTATTGTGGATTATGAAATATTCCAGGTAATACAAAAATAACAATATTTATAAAAAATATGACCTTTTAGAATTCATATAGAATACTTTTATAAATTGTCATTTTATAAGTTTAGCGAGCTATTTCATTTTCTAAAATATAAATTAAATTATCCGAAATTTAATTTCGACATTGTTTCTTCATGAACTTTCCTAAAGTTTTTAGACATACTAATAATTTTGTATTTTCGCAAAATAAAAATTGAATACAAATTTTTTATTTATTTTTCTTAAAAAAAAATAAATCTCTTTCGTTGAGATTGTAAAAAATAATTAGTGGAAATTTCTTGTAAAATATTAATATTATTTCTACAATCGTGAGAAATTATTGAATGATATTGACTCTAACTGCCTAAGTTTTTCAAGAGCAAAGAAACAGTTTGCTGGCTTGGTGAACTTTTTTAGCAGCGGTTTTGGCTATAACGTTGATTCTTGATGTTCAACAGAATGGCTTGAGGATCAAAATTCCTATTTAACGTTTGGCTCATCTTTTTGTTTTTATGTATTTTGATTGAATCTCGGGAAATAGGTTTTGAATTCCGCGTTGTAACGTTTGGCCAACATTTTGATAATCTGATTTAACTATTTCCATGAACGTATGTAATAATAATCTTGGAAATATTTAATTTCTTCAATTTCTTCGTTTTCTTTATTCGATTCTCAATAATAAAGATTAACAAAGAATCGTAAACTTACAGAACTTTATTGATTAACTAAATAAAAAAACTTATCTCAAAGCATTATTGATATTCACATTTCAGTATTTAAATTTTCTTTTCTTTGTGGATGGAGGAGTAACGAAGCAAACATGGCCTAAATAGATGAAAGTAATGAAATTAAAAAAAAAAATCCTAATTAATACGACATGATTACAATTGTTATACAGTTTAAGCTATCCGTTTATATTGAATATGAAATTTTATCCTTGGTTCTTTTACAAGGAGCACCGGACATTCCGACAGCGCAGGCACACAATCCGATCCTTAAATTTCCTAGATTACTAAATTTCAATTTTTTTTGTCGGCATTTTTGTCGGGTTGTCGGGCTGTCGGCATGTCGGCATCACTATGCATAATGTGTAACTTCCTAAATACGTACCACCCAAATTTTTTTTTAAAAATTATAATTTTTATTTCGATTATTAATAATTGTATCATACGAACAAATATATTTTAAAATGTTTTTTAATGTATATATGTATATTCATACATATAATATACCGATTTTAGTAATACTACCTTTGTATAACCACCTCTAGCTTTTATAACATCAGCCAACCGATTTGGCATAGATTCAATAAGTTTAAGACGTGTGTCAATATCAATATCGTTCTAAACTTGAATTTTTTCCCATAGGTCTTTTTTATTATGAATTTGACCAAGAAAATTATGAAGACGTCGGTCTACTTCATCCCATAAGTGTTCAATGTGATTTAGGTCTGGAGATTGAGGTGGCAAGTCAAGAAGTGTAATATGGCTATCTTCAAACCATTTTTTGGTAAGATTTGCGGTATGTTTAGGATCATTGTCTTGTTGAAAGACAATATTATTTATATTAAAATTGAACCTGTTTAAGGTCCCAGTTAAGTCATTTGCAAGAATTTTTCTATATCCTTCACCATTTAATTTTCCTTCAATATGATAGAGATTGCCAATACCGTGTTCTGTAAAGCAACCCCATACCATAACACTACCACCACCAAATTTTACTATTGGCTGTATGTGGTGGCTTTTAAGTTGTTCTCCCGGTTTCTTCCAACAATACTTACGCCCATCAGATCCAAAAATTTGAAACTTGCTCTCATCAGACCAGATTACATGCTTCCAATCTTCAATAGTCCAAATTTGATATTTCGAGCGAAGGCAAGTCGACGTATTTGGTGTTCTTTTTTCAGATGTTTTTTTCTTTTAACTCGGGCCTGTAATCCATTTCGTTGAAGTGATCTGCGAATAGTATCAGTACTAACATTGATATTATCATATGTTTTAATATTTTTTTTTAATATCAACCGCTGTTGAAAATTCATGTGTAGAAATGAACAAAAAATTTTTCGTTCATCTCTTTTAGTTAAAATTCTTGGCGTCCAGATTTGGGACGATCTACAAAACTACCAGTTTCATTTTTTAATTTTCTAATATAAACTAGAGTTTGCGGTTTGCAGGGAATTTCGTCTCCCATTTAATTATACTTAAAATTTATTGTATATGTATATTTAACAATTTTTTAGCAAAATGTTTAATTATTTTTGATAAAAAAGAAGTCAAAATAATTTTAATTTTATAATGGTAAAGGAATAGCGGCCTTTTGTTCTAATCGATCATATTCTTTAAGCATTGATTCATGTAAAAAAGGCAGAAGGATGTAATGAAGCAATATGCACTTTTGACCAATTAGAGCATCGGCTTAATGCAACATATGCTTGACCAGCAAAGAAAATTTGATGATCAAGACATAAAGATACTTCGGGTAAAGTTAATCCTTGTGTTTATGTACTGTAAGAGCAAATGCATTTTGCAAGGGAAACTGACATCTACTTGATGGTTTTCCATCAATCATAAATGTAATTGTTTCTTTTTTGATTTCAATATCAATAATACCACCCATAACACTAAAAGCTATTCTTACTTGTAAAGTTTTCAAATTAATATCAGTTACAACTCCAACAGTGCCATTACATATATTTTGTTCAATTAAATTATTTTAAGATACATTATATGAGCATCTTGTTGTAAACGTAAATGACTTGAAAGATTTGTTTTCTTTTTAAATAATTTTTGAGAATTATCTGGATTGAATTACTATCCATTAATAAAATCAATAACTGAGCTGATTAAATATTTATCTTCATTTACAGGAAGCATTTTACAAATAATATTGTTGATTCAATTAGCAATTTGTTTATATTTAACGATATTTGTAATATTAGAGTCAACATTAAGTGGTTTATGATGATCAAACATTCTAGTTTTTTGATATAAAGAAAACTATATATTTAATGATATGTTACCTAATCTAATTTTTTGTAACATATTATAATATTGTATATCTTGATTTTATCTTTGAGATTGCTTTAAAAATAAAGGATAAAACAGTTTCCATTCTAATGATTTATATACAGGTGATCCAATTACTAGAGAAAATTAAGCTAAATCACTAACAGCTATTATATTTAATCCTTCAAATGCAATTGTTTGTTGTCAAATAACTGAAAATATATCTAAAATAAACTAAAAAATTAGCATATACTATTGAAATTTCATCAATAATTAAAGTATCAATATTTTAAAAGTTTTAAAATATTCATGATTATTAAAAACTAATGTTTGGAATCCACTAGATATTTCATGAATTTTTAATGTTGAATATATTGTTTCTCCTCTTATATTAGTAATAGCTACTCCAATTAGAGCTAATAACAAGTAATTAGATTTTTTTTTTTTAAATCATTTATAATTAAATTAATTATAAATGATTTTCCAATATCAGCTGAGCCTATTATAAAAATATAAGGACATTTATTTTTTAATATATTAGACCTAAGATATTACGAATAGTTAAAATTATATTTAATTAATTTAATATGTTAGATTAATGAATAATAGGTGAATTAATTTGTAAAGTATGAAGTTAAATATTAATAAGGTCTGATACAAAAGTTGAAAAAACAGATTATAAATTATTAATTAAAGTATCTAATAATTGATTAAATTGTGAATCTAATTTTAATTGTTGAGAATGTATATATTCTTAAGTTATTTGTTAAATAGTTTCATTTAATTTAGGATATTTATATAACTAATGGTCATGATATGTTAAAAATTTTCAAATAATTCTTCTTCACTTCTATATGGATTTTCAAATAATAATTTTTGATAAAAATAATAATTGTTTATCTTATAATTTAAGATGTTAAAATCTAACTAATTTTGGAAATGATTTTTTAATTACATAATTTCTTAAGTTATCAATATGAATTCAATATCTAATTGTTAGTTTGGTTAATAATATTTCATTTTGAAAATATTTTGAATAAGTTAAGTTATTAAATTCTTCTTCATTTGGATAATTGAAATATTTTTCAATATGATCTGTTCAATAAGAATCATTATTATTTTTATTAATTAAATAAATAGGACAAATAGCTTTTGATTTATTTGTTAAAGGATCAGTAGTAAGATAAATAACAGAAGATAAAAAATTACAAATAGTTTCAACTAATATTAAAAATAATAATTCTATAGAGCCTAATCTTTTAGCTACTACGTATTTTTTAAATTTATCACCTTTTTTAATGTTAAAAATATGGGATAGATCTGATTTACTATGTATTTTATTAAATAAAAAGCTAATTTTTGAGAACTTACATATTATATATTTATATGTGTATCTCAAATTAATAAAATTTGTGGATGATAAGAAACTACCTATTGATTATCTAGATTAATACATTTATAAATTTACATTTATATTTTATTATTAAAATATGTAATTGAAGAAAAAAAATAAGGAAATCCTTTTTTGCAAGTATGTCTTGAAGCAGCAGGATCACTACATTTTGAATTACATGTATGTATTTGATTTACTTTTATTTTAGCATATAATTTAGATTCTAAATCTAGATTAGGTAAGTCAGATCTTATAATATTTTTAGTAATCATTTGTTCAATAACTTTGAAACCTAATATATACTATAAGTATATGTAGCACACAATTTCAAAATTCAACTTTTTCAAAAAATTGTTTTAAGTTACCTTATTCTGAATGTTTAGGATTTTTTAAAACATGTTTTTTAAGTTATTAAAAATGATAAATAAAATGCAATGTAATATATATTATCTATTTGTTAGAATAATATCATAATTATTAGTTGCTTTTAAAATTTTATGTAAATATTTCCAGTGGTTTTCAGTCATTATAAGTATAAGAAATATGAATGGTAATCCATATAAAAAATCATTATATTTACATGAAGTTCTTTTTTATAAAAGTATAATTCTCTAATG